AAAGCTACAGAAATAAGAAGAAATTAATTTAGGGCTCTTCGTGTAAATTCTATAACTTTGCAAAGAAAGGTCATGTAGAGTTGGGAGAGGTCTCATTTTAATCAGAAATGTGCGGGCTACAATCATGTCTCATTAAGAAAGGTTCGGGTTATTTTTTGGGGTTTCTGAAAAACTGGTTTTCTAGAAAACCAGGTCTTTGAAGGCCTAGCAGCAAAAACCATTGTCATATTCGGAATTAGCATAGTCGATAACCTATTCTCCGCTAGGTTTCAAGAAAAAAGCGAGCGGACACTTGGGGCAGTTCCCTCGTTAGACTCTAGTACAGTTGGGCGTGCTCCTACAGATTGCAGAATACATTTTACTAGGTTAATAAAAAGAATCTGGGAGTTCTTTTTAATCAAAATAAATAAAACAATAATATTATAAAAAAAGTGCGAAACATTTCTGTTTAACAGGTCTTTTTTGAAAATCTGTTGTTATTATATTATCAAAAAAATATTGTTATTGTTATGAAGCAAGTAAGATGTTTTCTGCCGCAATTTTTTAACTGCGAAACGTATAGAGGACTTATTTAAACGTCGGCAATTTTCTGTTAGAAAACTACTAGTCGTAATTCAAGTAAATCTCTGTAATTTATTTAAATTTTTATTAGATGAGAATTAGAGATGATCACTGCAGAATAGCAAACTGAGTGTTTTCATTGATACTTAAATAGCTGCTGAAAATAAACTTAGTAGTCGTCCAAGTAACTGAAATCTTCAGATACGATCGAGTTCAAGCTTTCTTTCGATTGAAACTCTCTTCTGGCATTTTGAATAAATAATCTAAACTTTCTAGCTAACTGTAATAATAGTAGGGCCGAGGTGAACAAAACGGCTTATTTGGAGTTCTTTTGTTGAAAATAATGAAAAACGTTAATAAAGAATGCATTTTTTCATCGTGTACATTTTAAGAGTTCGAAATGTTAGGTTCCTCTATTGAACGAAGATAAGCGAAACAATCTGAAACAGTCTTTCCTTCGTTGGTTGAAGTCAGAATGCAATTGTTGCAGTTAACATGAGGGATTAACCCTTTTTGAAATAACAAGGAAGAGGTTATCAACAGATAACAGATTGTTTATATACTTCTAACAGAACACAGATAACTTTAACAACAGATTAAATTAATTAGCAATAAAAGAGTAAATTTCATCAAACAGGCGACATAGTACTTCTTTTTGAGAAAACATTTTGAAGATTTTCTTTTTCGTCGTTTGGATTTTGTTTTCATTTTTAAATTTTTCAACAAATGCATAGATTAAATCAATAGAAAAAACCGCTTGTGGTGGCAAAACCGTGTATGGTTGCTTGAAAAATTCATTGAGAATTATTGTATTTTGATATAGTTGTTCTACATTTTGAACTTCAATTATTATTTCAGAATCTTTAGGAACATGATTGTCGCTTGGAATTTTCTGTCTAATATGTCGGCACTCAGAGTGTGACAGAGACGTTTTTAGCAATTGAACTGAATGTCGAAGAAAAGACGACGATAGGTTGTCATTATCTAAAATGCTGTTATGATTGTAGTCATATGTATCAAGAAAATTTAATTTCAGAAATGAAATAATAAATGCACATAGATAAACGAATGGATATGAGATTGTTGTTGTTTTATACCAGTGGTATATCATTAATAACCATAAACGATAATCTTTATGTATGTGATGATGTTGATTGTATAATTTTCTTTTTTTAGATTTATCTTGAAATTTTATTGTATAAGTTAAACATCGAAAAACATGAGATTTTAAATTTTTCATACGTTCAGCATCTTTTAACTTCGGTATATTTGAACTATATTCTTTTAACTTGTCAAATAGATTATATTTTAATGTTAAATTCTTACTAATTACATTATAATCCCGATCAACAGTATTCGCTTTTTTCAAATCCCATTCCACAAGAATACCAAATATGGGTAACAATACTTCAATGTGATTTTGATTTGATATAAAAAAACGCCGATTAACAAGTATATCAATAACAATTGGATCAAGTTTACCAGATGATACTAATTTTACTGCTTTCTTCGATATTCTGTTATCACATTTTGTGAGCAAACCATCATGACCAGTCGTAGGATTTAAATAAATTTGCATTGTTGCTTGAAATTCTGCACGTATTCTCTTTTTACTAATTAATTGGTAAAATCTTGAGGTATCAATTTGGATATTACCAGTGAATTCTAACCATTGTAACACACAAAATATAAATTTTAAATGTGAACAAGCCGTTTCATCAAAACAGTTCTGCTCAAGCCATTGATTGAATTTATTTTCCTTTTCTAAATTACCTGGACATTTAATATGACATTGTATTGTTTCATGATCTAGGAAGTTGTAACCTTGAAGAACGGCTAATAGTGCTAAGTTGTGTATATTTTTCGATAATTTGAATGCATGATAGACTTTACCCTTTAATGATCCTGTGTCTAAATGTTTGAATGGTATATAACCTTTCTTTAGATTGTGGAAATAATAGTCACTATCGGATGCCAAAATAAAAGCATCCTCTTTATTGGCTAAAACTACACATGTTTCGTCACCTTCGCCGATGGCGACTTGATAACGTATATTTAGTTCATTCAACACAGACTTTATCACATTAATTAATAAGATTGGTGGTTTATTATTCTCTGTTCTGATTTGATAATCTATTTTTCTTAAGTAATCACGCTTCTTTGTCACTATCCCATCAAATACAACGACAATGCTTTTACATTTTTCTTTCAATAAATGAAATAATGGACGAAAGTATTCTCGCTTATATTCATTATAATCTATAGAACGATGAGCAGTGTTTTTTCCTCCATTAATTTGACGACACATTTCGTAGCACAGAGAAGTACCATCTATAATAATATTTTTACCTGTTAACTCAATTGGAACATAGATGTTTAAGTATCCATCAACATATGTGGTGAAAAATGGTACACCCATATCTTTCTACTTCTTTAGCAAGAAAAGTTAAGAAGAAACTGGTTACTTTAGAGTTAAGAAGAAAATATTAGGAAAAAAATAATTTGTTTAAAGTTAAAGAGAAACTGAGGTATTTTCTTGAGTTTATAAAGATTCACATCCTATAACAGAAATTCACTAGAACCACAGTAGGGTTTTTTCCTTTATTTTTCCTTTATGTTTGATGCATTAGTCACCAGTGTCAAAGGATTTTTCACAGTTACGATAGAAGCATGAAACATCGAAAACAACCACAATGACGTCAGCTTTTAAAAAAGGAATGACAAAAAATTCTCCATAGAAACGATGTTGTATTAAAAAGAAAATTGATTGAAAAAATTGAATTTTGATTGCTTTTTCTAAAGCAGCTTCAATCTCAGACTTCTTTACCCATACTATAGACAGGCATGCAACGGTTTTTAACCGTTAACCGCAACCATAAATAACCGTTCGAATGATTAACCGTAACCGTAAAAAACCGCTTTATAACAACTTAGTGTATATTTGATTTTTAGTTCATTGATATCGGTTTAGATTAGAAGTAGACAAGGATGGTCTTGTCCTGACGTTATAGTACATCTACTAATAAATTTATGAAAATTCTAGAGAATAGGTAATCGACTATGAAGAATCCGAAAATGAGTATAAGGGACCTATAGCACGCATTCTATTGGTCAGAAACCTACGTTTGACTGGCTGGAAATGATAGAGCATAGGTTATCAACTATGAGGAATCCGAAAATGAGTATGAGCGACCCATAGAACGTATTTTATTGGTTAGAAACGTCCTCTCGGATTCCGAGATCTCATAAACACACTATTCAAGGAGAGACAAGCGCTATTTGTTCGCTTATCGTGAGGGTTTCGGTCAAACACTTGTTTCGTACAACAGGTGGAGCGAGCGGTGGATAGTGAGAGTGAGTCATGGAAGCCTGGAACCCTAGGCCTCTAACGAAGTCGCGTAATAAACACGTTCTTGTGTCGACGTGCGCTTACTGCACTCGTGACTTTCATTGCTATTTTCGGACCCCGCATGGTCGAGTGTCTATTCTATTCCATTGTCATCCAATCCAGTCAAAAGTAGGTTTTTTGACCAATAGAATGCGTGCTATAGGTCCCTTATACTCATTTTCAGATTCTTCATATCGATTACCTATTCTCTAGAATTTTCATAAATTTATTAGTAGATGAACTATAGCGTCAGGACAAGACCATCCTTGTCTACTTCTAATCTAAACCGATATCAATGAACTAAAAATCAAATATACACTAAGTTGTTATAAAGCGGTTATTTACGGTAAATGTCGAGGTAAATGTTCGAATAATGTTGGCGATTGTTTGTGACTCATCGTCGCCACACACTGGTAAAGCGGTGTTGTGCGTTTTTTTTATGGATATCTCGCTATGGTTTGAGAGAATATGTGATTGTAAAATATGATAATACTTTACATCAATATTAACGGGCTGATAACGACATAGGAACAGAACGACAAAAGAAATCTGTCATTTCTCTATTGAAGCACATTTCTTTGTAAAACAGTGGTTATTTACCAGAGGTTTTATATTCGTTATTCACTACTTTGTTGTAGTTTTGCATTTTATTCTTATCACAAAATTACGGTCAACTAGAGAGATTATTTCTGTTGCGAAGCTGCCAATGTCGATAGCCAGATACCACCATTTAACTAGAGTCAAGGATCCCAAGTCAGTACTTGTTGTTGAATACAAAAAGATATCAAAATGGATTAAAAGGATGAAACTTCGTATCGAACATCACGGCAACTACCTCAAACACTTGCTATAGAGAGATCAATGGAATGTCTTTCTATTGAATAGAAGCGTCAAAGTGAAAGAGCTCTTTGACTGACCTAAGTAGATTTCCTCTTATAAAAAGTTTAACTAATTTAAAAATTAGTTTAAAAAATTTAAACATTAACTAATTTAGATTAAGGCCAAATGACTGCCAATTAATACGGGAGATAGAGCAGAAAATTCTCTACAAGATGGTGTAATTTTTAGTCAGTTTATTCCGAGTTTCCTGTTGAAATTAAATGGTTTAAGTTCATTCCAGCTATTTTGGCTGTAGTTATCATAATTACCCCGTGAAAAATAGCTATTATCACAATTACTCCAAACGGGGAATTATGATAATTCTAAACCTATTCACTGGAAATTGATTAGAACTAATTAATGTTAATGAATTTTAGAAAAATATTTACATCAGTAGATAGCTAAGAGCCAGCTCTATCTACCTGCGTAATACTGATTTTCTCCGGTGAAAAATGACTTAAATATGCTCAAAATATCTGAAAAGTTTTAGGCGATTATCAGAATTACCCCATGTGACACTACAGTGAATGCATTGGAAGAAACGAAACTTGAAGCAGCCAAGAATATACATCTGTCCCATGCAGTTGTAAATTTTATTTTATATACGATAACATATATCTTCGTTAGACACACAACTAAAAGAACTTTTTTCTTCTCGTCTTATCCTTTTTTACATTTCTTCCTCGTACAACACAAAGGAACACGCACATTTTTCTTTTTCTGTTTGTTATGAGTCATTATTCCAGCTAGCTACGTAAACCTACACGGAAAACAACACACGCAAATAAAAAAACTAACTAATTCTAGATTGTTACAAAATTTGATACCGGAAATCGGCAGTTTGAATCTGAATCCCTAATCGCGTTTCGCGACAACTGTTGTTTGGCTGTTATATTCCACTGGAATAAGACGGCGGTGAATCTGGAAAAGATGTAGTTCTCGAAATTTTTTGTGACATTTCTCGAATGAAACTGAAGAACAGAGAAAGATTATAAAGAAACACGTAAAAGAATTATTTCGATTTTAAAACAATACGAAAAAAAGGAATTTTTGAGATATTTTTACATAAAAATCGATAGGAAACACACTGATCTTTCTCATGTTATTCCTTGACTTGAATATGTCTGCATGTTCATTCCATTCGTTGATCTCGATTTGATGTGAATTAAAAAGTCGTAAACTCGCTTAATATGCTACACTGGTTATGTTTCTCCAATTGTTTGAAACTATGTAGTAAAATTTTGACATGACAATTTGGATCCACAAGATGGTCATAATAGTCACTGGAATCGGATTGCTCAGAAATATGGATGATTTGAAAGAGCGAATGCAACTTTTGGATGTTTTCTTTATACATTTTTTCATCCAGTATCGGGTGCAATGTGTTGCCTTTGAGAAGACAACAAAGAATAGTTAGATTCTGTGAAGAATTGTGAAGAATCCTTGCGAGTTCATCGATTGGAATACATTCCATCTTGAGGCTAAGCATTATCATATTCGGCATATGAGATAGCATAGTAGCAAGCCAAGTTAAGGAACCATTATATTCCAGTTCAAGATATTTTGTTTCATAATACAATTATTCAACGTGGATCATTGCCAGTGGCTAATGAAAAGGAGAATACAAGCAGTTGTTAGAGATTTTTAACAATGATTTCAAAGATATCGTTTCTTTGTGAACGACGAATTACTTTTCAGTTTATAACTTGTTTATCTATTAGAAAGAACAAAAGAGTTTAACAAAACAACACTACTGCCGTGCTCTAATTTAGACGGTTTAATGCCCGATACGTTAAATATTGATGTACTCCTTGTTTCTCATACCTGACTACCAGTGTAATGCATTTCAACGGATCGAATTTTAAACACATTTGGTCAAACCTTCCAACGACTGGATCAAACCAGATCCGACTAATTCCTTATTCGGACTTGATCAGGATTCTTTGGAAGTGGTAGTATCTGGCGTAGGTTCTTGAATTCTCTAAGTGAACCGGAAATACCTGTGTTTTTATCTTTCCTTAAATGCTTTTGACGAAAAGTGTGTTTTATTTATTTGCGACTTGATCCGTTGAAAACACCTTACCGCGTGCTCGTTTTCGCCTCCGCACAAACGAACGAAACAAAATATTTATAAAGAATGTCACATAAGGTTAACCCTACTTACCATTTTACCTGAGAGTATTAAAGTAAAGATCAAATCAGTAGTGCGCGTGCCAGTTGTACGCATTATCTACAGAGGAATTTGAATCTATCTAACTTGCTCACTATTATCATTGAATCCCAATCCTTCTATCTCATCTCCGACGTCAATCAACTTTGGAACGGAGCTTATTCAATAGAAATTTGGAGTAAGATTAACTATAGACTTAAAGCGAACACAGAGGAATAGTTCGACTACCATGATTTGTACGAAAAAAGACTAGAACTATCAAAAAATTCAAGAAAAAATGCTTCTTCTGTCATACGATCTTTTTAAAAAGTTCAAGAATTCCTTGATGAGCTGAGTTCCGAGGTCCGCCATGTTTATTTACCTCATTTTTCACTTCTCTCGCGCTCAAACACTCTCTGCTCACTTTTAACCCAAAGCTGCTCATACTTCGAAACTCAAGTCAATGTACAGTCACTCAACTGTTAGTCAATTCAACTTCTAACACAAACTCTTTTTATTTAACTTATTTTTTGTTTTGGTTAATATGATTGGTATTTTAATGTTTTTCTTCACCTTGTTTTACATCAGATTAGAGAGGGTTGGGCTAGCTAGTACCTTTAGAAAATATAATCTTCAATAAATAAATAAATCACAACTCAACTACATAGTTATGGAGAGAACAAAAAAAGGCAGAAATCACAAATACCATTAATGGGAGACGAACAAACATGCAGAATTAGGAATAATGGTAGATAGATAACACACACGAAAAGAAAAGAAATCCCATGAGTGTCTTAAAAACTTCCTTCTATGTTCTCAAAGTAACTGTAATTTTTTAATTAACGTTCGAACAGCACCTTCATCACTAATCGCGATTTTTTGAATCAAATAAAAGAATTCATTAGTGTTTTTTGTCCGTTTATAAAAATCAATATTAAACAAATGAAATAGACCTGCCCATGTCACTACTGCTTCTAATGAATTAGCTGTTTTAATAAGATGA